GGATAGGAGATAAAGCCGAACATACGGACGGACGGACAGGTGGACGTACAGACGGACGGAAATCCTGATTACTACATACCCTCCCACTTTTCAAGCGGGGATATAATAATCATGTTAAGCAGTGCTGTATTTTATGATTTTATCAAGCTCTACTGTGCATATTTACAAATCTATTATCAATTATAGGGTTCTTGAAAAGGATAGAAACGTCGAAGTGTTTATAGGCGTAAAAAAGTGACCGATTTTCTTGATTGTACAAACATTTCTAAAAAAGTTAGTGTTTTTTTAAGTAATAATAAGGAAAAGAATCAATATATCATTAAGATTCCCGACTTGGACAATTTGATGCATGTGAACCGTATTTATTAGAGGTCCATGTATCTCTTCCCTAGTCTGAAAAGTCTCACTTCCACTGATATTTTTGATACTTTCTTTTTTGTTACGATTTTTTTTTTTTGCTTTAAAGAATGATGCCTTTACATTAGAGTTGTAGAGTGCATCTTGACTATCATGTAGTTATAATAAACCAGTATATCGATAATGCAATGTGTCCATTATAACTATAAATGATATCTCTCCCAACTGTCTGTTTACGCGGCGATGAAAATTCCCTCCCCAGCAAAAGAGCGCACTAAAGAGGATAATCTCTAAACTTTTGTATTGAGTTCACATTCGATCGGGATCAAATTACACTAATTACTGAAAAGGCATTGAACTAACGAAGTTTGAACTCTGTTTGATGTTGAGGTTCACTCGTGGAAAAGTGGACGATTTTTTTTTTGTTTTCAGGACAGGAAGCTTGCATAAAATTTCATTTTATGTGCTTGTTGTATTTATCAATAAAATCACGACTCAAGCAAAATTTATTGGAAAAAAAATTGGACAAGTGAAGTTTAAGGACAGATGATACAAACAATTTTTTTCTTTGAAAAAGATTAAATATCATGTTACAAGTTTAGAAAAGTGGATGGTTCTTAGAATATTTTTTTCCGAAGAACTGGAAAATGAAATAGACTAGGAAAATATTAGTAATATTTCAATGAAAAAACAAATATAGATAAATCACATTCAGTAAAGGTTTACAGGTGAAAATAATTTTCAGAATATGTTATCTTGGCGCTAAAAGTGTAATATAAACTTTAGAAAAATATACCAAGCCAGGTGAATTTTAAGAGGAAGATCAAAATGACAAAAAATTAGCAATATCACATAGGCTGATTTTTACCATTTAGCTTTTCCTAATAAAATTGGTATATTTTTCTTAAGTTTATATTACACTTTTAGCACCATGTTAACATATTCTGAAATTTGTTTTCACCTGTAAACCTTTAGTGAATGTGATTTATCTATATTTGTTTTTTCATTGAAATATTACTAACAAGAGGCCCATGGGCCTTATAGGTCACCTGAGCATTATTCAACAACTTTCCAGTGATTGAATTTGTTTTAAGCCAGATGCTATAGCATTTACAATTTGGTAATCATAACTATACACTTAGCAGTTCCTTATTTTGGTTACTTAATACCCATAGGCAGGGTAGGGGAACAAAAAATGCATTTCAACAAATCAGTAATATTCAGCAATAATCAGTAGTGCCGCTACCACACAGGAATCCTTGACTCTTAGGCTTTGATCCACACATTGCACAATTTTTGGAAAGGCATCCTTGCTTTTCAAAAAAATTTGATTAATACCAAGGAGCACATTTCAAACAATTCATTCATTTTCAGTATATAAGTACAGCCCCCCCCCCCCCTCTATGGTACAACTGACCCTGGGGCCTTGAAATTTACAATTCTTGAAGATTAGGTCCCTTGCTTATAACTATATAGGTAGTTCATTTGCTTAAAACCTAGGAACAAAGAACAAAATATTCAAAGATTTAATGTTTTTTCACTATACATGTATAATCAATACAGCCCCCCCCCCCAACACCAGAATCCCTGACCCTGGGGCCATAAAATTCACAATTTTGGTAGAGGCACTCTTGCTTATCATAACTATGTACTTAGTTAGTTTATTTAATACCCAGAAGCAGAGAAATGGATTTTCAAAGAAATAATGTATTTTCACTATATAATCAATAGAGCCCTGCCCTAACACCAGAACCCCTGACCCTGGGGCCATAAAATTCACAATTTTGGTAGAGGCACTCTTCCTCATCATAACTATGTACTTAGTTAGTTTATTTAATACCCAGGAGCAGAGAAGAAGATTTTTAAAGAAATAATGCATTTTCACTATATACTTATTTAGCTCCGCCCTAGCACAAGTACCCCTGACCCCAGGGCCATGAATTTCACAATTTTGGTAAAGGACTCAATGCTGATTACAATCATGCATACAGTTTGACTGCTTGATGTCCAGGTGTAAAGAAGAAGATTTTTAAAGATTGCATTAATTTTAGTGGTTTTGGCCCCACCCCCCAGGCCCCAGGGGGGCAGGGATCATGAAATTCAAAATTTGTGTTCCCCTTCACCCATAGATGCTTTGTGCCAAATTTGGTTGAAATTGGTTCAGTGGTTGCAGAGAAGAAGCTGAAAATGTTCAAAAGTTTACGACCGATTGACGACGAACGACGTACGACGAACGACGTACGACGAACGACGACGGACGAAAACAGATAGCAATAGGTCACCTGAGTGACTCAGGTGACCTAAAAATTTCCAAGTCTTTTTCATATTCTAGTTCTTAGGAGAAAAAAATCTAAGAACCATCCACATTTCTAAACTTGTGACATGATATTAAATCTTTTTCAAAGAAAAAAATTGTTTGTATCATCTGTCCTTAAGTTCGGACAATTAAATATCCTGGTCACAAGTCCAAATGGACAAGTAGGGAAGAAGTTAATGTAAAGCCCTATAAATAGTCATCTGCTAATTGAGTAATTTACCTCATTATTAATCGTCAAGTTCTCTTAATTATCGAAACGATATCAAAATATAACATTTTCCCATTATATCACAAATTTAATATTTTTATCCATAGACCCTGAAAAATTGGCGAATCACGCCGGATAGTTATATCTCACTTGAAACAGTTACATTGCCCTCCCAACCAAAGTTTTGTTCCTTAATCCTTAAATACAAAAAAGATAATCAACAAAAATGTCAGTATACATACTGAAAACATTCTGCCATGAAACAGGACGGGATATGATGGAGTTATACTCAACGTACACATGTACATACATTTAGTATTTAATACATATGTTCGATGATTGATAAGGGTTCAATGTTTAAAAATGTTATATACCATATATTATATGCCTTAATTCTCGGGCAGCAATACCAGAATATTTGCCCCTCGGTGACAGAAAAGCCTTCGACATCCGGCGACATACATGTAACACTCCAGGGCTTTCCTGTAACCTTGGGGCAAACATTCTGGTATGCTGCCCTCGAAGCTAATATATGTATAATATTTGTTTGAAGTCATCATTTCTCAAGGTTTACGAACAATATTATGATCTTTCATGTATCAGTAAATATAATCTATCACTAAGTCAAATCCTGACTGACGTTTTTCATACTTTTTGTAAGGCCATTATTGAGATTTTACCAAATACCCGATAATGACAAGAAGCACACAGCGTGTGTGACCAGTCGATCGACAGAGGATGCGCACTCCTTTATCACACCATGTCCACCTTCTGATGCTTTTTGAGGTTCATGTTTGTTTTGCTCCTAACTTTTTATGTTTAAATGGAACTATTTGTAATCTTCATATCTGTTAATTTCGAACTGCCTTCCTAATGTTCCTTGAAATATGAATTATGGATATAAAGAACAGTTTTCAAGATCAAAGTACATAAAACAATACAAAGTTTGAGCAGAGCAAACACGGATCTCCAAATCTTCAGAGGTTGGAACATGTACCATGGGGTGTGATTATATATCCTTTGCCGACCGGTCACTCATATCTGAATGTCAAATCTTCAATTTCTTTAGGATATCCTTAATATACAACTTTTGACTTTTGATGAGGTCTACTCGTGACTATACAGATCTAGACCTGGTCATGTATTGGTTGACCAAGGCCAAGGGCCTGACCAGGTCAATACAGTCACGAGTAGATCTAATTCAAAAGTCAATAACCATTTTATTAAATGATCAGGAATTTTATGACAGTTTCGACACTAAAATTCTGTTTCAATCAAATAAAAACACCCATAATATAATTGTAACAACTTATCTATTTAACAACTAGTAGTTAAAAATTAAAAACAATAATTATTAAACAATAAATACTCAACCATTTACTTTCAAAACCGTTTAATCTCCTTGGTACTGGCGTCTGACAAGTTAACATTCATACCGACACATGCTTTGATTCACGCAATCTGATTGGTCGAAAAAAATGTATGCAAATCTATGGTTGGTCAAGAGGGAAAACCCGAATAAACCCCCTAGAACGTCATATGAGGTACATCTGTGGGAAAGGCGTCTAGACCAAACAGAGAGCACCAACATTTCTTATCATTTAAGAAATAAACAGCAATATTAGAAAGTTCTCTGGGATATGAACTTTTAGTTGGTCACGTGATCATATTCTGTGAAGCCCGAAGTGCTTCTCAGAATCTTGTGCAGCCCGAAGGGCTTCTCAGTAGATTTGATCACGTACCAACTAAAAGTTCATTTCCCAGTTAACTTTTTAATTAATTGTTGTTCATTACTTATATTTACAGTTGAAACGAATACATTTCGAGCTAGATTTTATTTATTACACGAACGGAACAACGCATTGCTATGTAGTGACGCGCAATAACGTAGTAGTTGTTTGGTCAAAATATCACATCGCTCTGTGATCCTGTCGCGCTATGACCTCTGACCCCCAAATGAAATTCAAAAAGAATTGAACGTATTTTCTCTTCAATAGGTTCAATTAAGAAAGATATTTGCAAATGTATATATCTAATAATAAACAATTAACCCCTTGTCTCATTAAAAAAAAATATTTACAATTGTGACACTTTCTGGCTGCCGTAGGAGACGCACAATTTAGATTGAAAACGAAAGTGGACTTTTCTACGCAGGACATTAATTCTAGCAGGTAAAAATAAAAAAGAAGGTTAACGATGTATCGTTGAAAAATATAACATTTCTTTAAGTCAATTAATATTGACTTTTTAGACGATCGTCAATCAATCTCACAAAATGCTGCGCTGGAAAACAATAATTCAAAAAATAGGTCAGTGTTATGGGGTGTTGATGGGTTCTTTCTTTCATATACAAAGTTTATCATTGGTTTCATTAAAGTCAAACATCCAATCGAAGACTAATATGATGATCAAATTGTGAAATTTTACCACGTTCGATCAAGCAAAGTGACACGCTTTTATTGGTCTGATAAAATACCAAACAGTATGAAATATCCCAAACAAGCTAAAAGTAAACACCCCGTACATGCTAAAGAATGTGTTTTTCTCAGTGCAAAAAAAAAGAGGATTCAGTATGTGGTAATTAGAAAGTGACATGTCTTACGGGTAGTCAAAATACAAAAAAACCCTTTCTGGACTTTTTTGAGAAGTGCTTACTCTTTGGACTTTTACGAGAAGCGCTGACTATTACAGTTGACAGCTTACTTTTACACTAGAACATTTAATGTACGGAAACTCTTTTACGATATAAATATATACCTCAACATTTATTTCAACCAAATAACTGGTTATTCGTCAATCGGTTAAAAAATTGTCCAAACATACGATTTTAAAAAAAAAATTGTGTGGTGAATATCTAGTTCATAAGTAAACTCTGTGCCAAAAATGACAAATATTGACTGCCTAGTTTGTCCTGCAGCCACGCTCAAAATGAGGTCATTTTTATTGGTTCTACATGTCAATTTACATAGGATTATATAGGGAAATCGGACAATACCTTCTTCATTTATCAATAAAAAAAGACACAAACATAGGATTTTTTTTAATTTATACATCATCTTCAAATCTTCACCTTTTGAAAAATAAAAAGAAAAATTGGGTGGTACAAATGTATTGGCTAAATTTTCTTATCAGTAACAAAACTTGCTAAAACTTTTACTGATTTATCTGTTATATTGATTTATCAGGAAATGCAGGTTTTGAATGAATTCAAATTGAATGCAGAATATACACCCATCAACACTTACACTTAAATATTTACGTTCGCTGTGTTTTTCTACTAAGCCAACTGTGAAATTGATTTGAAAATAATTTTCGTGTATACTCACGCGTAGAAATATACACGGAGAAACGTGCCTCACAATAGGGCTACAACGACGTTGGTAAAAGTATAACAATTTAGGGCAGCGAGGAATTCAAATATTGAATATATTTTCGATGCTTCCAAACAAGTAAAATGTAAATACAAGGAATGTTTTTAAGTTTAGTTTGAGTTATTGGTGTGCGAATCACACAGACTTGTCACGTAGGTATATTTTTCATGAAGCGCTAGCGCGCTTCATGAAATATGCCTACGTGACAAGTCTGTGTGATTCACACACCAATAACTCATACAAACCTTAAAAACATTCCTTAATTGTCTTTTAGTTTAAAGCACTTATGTTAATACAATTATAGATCATTGAATGTTCAAGGTCATATTTATAAGGTAAAGGTGATGAAATTCAATTATCTAGAACTGTCCAAAGTGGACTAAAACCCACAGCTAGGTTTTTCAGAGACGGTGTAAAGTCACTAATAAATACTGGTATTGGTATTCATCAGTTTATTTTTTCTTTACTGATAATTGATCATTTTAGATTTGTAATAAATGAAACAAAGGTGTAGCCTACTTCAACATCGATACTAATGATATCGACTGAATACAAGTTATGAACATTTCCTTTTAGTGACCTTGAACTTGCTTTTGGATCTCTTTGGGTGATCTTGGATCAAAGTCCTGACAAACTCAAGTAATAAGTCATTTTGTGTAAAATGGGAACTTACAAAATTTACACATAAAAAAAGACATGAAAAGACACAAATTATGAACTTTTTCTTTCACTGACCTTAATCTTTCATGAATGACATAGAGTCAAGGTCATAACACGCTCTAAGGTCTAAAGGAACATACTTTTTGTGAAGTTGTAGAATCAAGTTTTTCAACAAGAAAGATATGGATCGAACACCGATTATGAACTTTTTCTTAAGTTTTTCAACTTGCCCAAATGATCTTGGGACAAGGTCATGACACACTTTCTATGAAGTAGATGATCTAATCCTCCTCCATAAGAAAGATATGGACCAGACATGTTTGCATAGACAGACAGGGTGATTCCTATATACCTCCCCCCAACTAATTGTTTGCCCGGGTATGATAATTAATAAAATATGCAATTATTGAATATGACCAGATGGTATTCTTGCATATGTTTAATATATATTGTGAGAGAGAATGCATGATCATATATCTTAATAAATGTACATTCTTGCTAACATTTTTTTTAATCGAAATTTTAAGATCACTGGTCAAGGCCAATTGTAGGGAAGTTGAAAATAAAAACTTACATAAAACAGTTCATGAATGGCTATAACATGCCTTTATATTTTATATGTTAAGAGACTGTGTAAATAATACAACAACACTGATTATAATGTAGGAATTGAATCAAATTATAATCCAAAACTTATAACAGGATATTTTTTGATATTTGATAAAAGGAATGTTCTATAATTTGTGGTTGGATATGCTTTTTCTCCAACTTATGCTTTTTATCCCTTCGCCAAGCCCCAGGGATAAAATACACACAACGTGCATAAAATCAAATTCTGAATCCTATACAATGGGACATTCTATATTTATTTAAGATTTAATCATTCTATTAAAGGCTGTACATTCATATGAAATTAACAGAATATGTATTGTTAAGGTAAGTTAATGTTCTACTCCATAGCAAGGTTTAAGTAGTGCCTACATTTCTTTGTAATAAGAAAAAAAGTAAAATATAGGAATTAAAATAACATTTTTAGAGTTTCACCAGGATATGACATTAGTGGCCTTTAGATTGTGTCTATGCATTTGCAAATACGCACCACTTGGTTGTTCGTGTTTCGCATGACAGACCATACGGAAAAAAAGGGCAAACAAACTACCCCGATACTAATTACTAACAAACCACTATGGTTTGAAAGTAGTTTAATAGTATAGCAAATCACATGCAAATGAGCTAACAAACTATACTCTAACAAACTACTATCAAACCACTCTTACAAACTACTATCAAACCACGCTAACAAACTACTATCAAACCATTCTAACAAACTTCTAACAAATCACTGGAAACAAATCCATCAGCAAAACACTAGATTTGAATTTTCCTTTACAAATCCACAAGTCTTTGAAAACACCTAAAACAGTCACATTTTGAAACACATTTTGAAATATTCATCAAGTCTTGTTTCAGAGTGGTGTTTTAAATTCCAGGATTCACAAGTTTAGCCAATGCAAGTGCAACAATCCAACATGTTCCCTTTTGTTTAGGAGATGCAATTCCAAGTCAACGTCTATTTACTTATCACATATTTAAGTATACTTCCCATAATCCAATGCATAACTGATATAAACTAGTATAGGAATTATAAGGTCAATCTGAAAATAAATAAAAACCCAAAGCTAGTAAAAAGCATACACATCAGTCCACATTCACAGAAGGTTAATTACTGTAGTCCATCCTTATTTTAGGTTAAAAGGAACTTCATGACATGCATTAAATACCTCTTCTGTATCCAGATCCATCTTTTAATAATGTTAAATGCTGCTTTTTCCAGTCAGGGATCCTATAGAATGATACTAACAGTTTGAATGTTCTTTCACCAGTTTCTTTGTTTCTGACCTGCTTGCTGGTTTGAAAATTGGTGCAAATAGCTAACACCGGATGTAAAGATTAAGCTGTTCTTGGAAACTTCAACAATTCTAGATAATTCAACCTTAAACATTTCAGTAAAGTAATTTCCCATGTGGTTAGATGCAAATGCTATACTAATAAAACACTGTTGCAAGATACCAAGTCTAACAAACTATAAAGAAATCACAATCAGCAGAAATGAAAGACTAACAAACCACTTTACTTATTTTCAGAAACTGTGGTTTGTTTGTGTTTCATTGAATGCTATACTATCAAACTACTTTAACAAACCACGAAAATATAGTTTGTTGGTAGTTTGTTGATGGTTTAATAGTAGTTTGTTAAAAATCTTTTCCGTTTGGGAGACCTTTATCTGGTATATGACATTGCCTTTATCAGTAAAGCTAATTTTCTATAAGTATTTGGTGAAATCTATTATAGTTTTACCGTATATTTAATAAGATGAAATGTAAATAAATTTTAAAAATACATATCTACATGTAACATGTCCGACACAAGAAAATATTTTTTTCACATGTTCTTCTCTTGCTCGAACTTGCCCACCGATTAAAAATTAGGGGAAATGTTTACAAAGGTCATGTGAAAATTACACATTTTATTAATGATTTATTCCTATATGTTTATTCCTTTCATCTTCTGGACTTAACTGCTCAGAAACAAAAATTAAATGTCGAATTATTTCTTTTAATTTTTATGTGGAATTGGTACATGAACAGGGTGAAAATGAAAGTGTTTGCCGAAAAACCGGAAGTGCATACATTTATATTTTTGATCATATTTTAATGAATCTAACAGAGTGAAAACTTTTAGAGTTATTGTTTTTAGATTATTTTAATACGAATGACCATTTAAAACCGCTTACGAATTATTTTCCACTGAGTTTTTGTTTTTCGGCTTATGCTCGTCATCTTGCACAGAAAGCGCGAATTTTTAAACCTGCGACCTACCTTAAAGAAAACAACAATCACCCTACCCCCAACTTCCTGTCTTAACATGTTAGAGCCCCAAACAACATAAGGGGCACTATTATAACCACTAGAAAGGTGTTCTCTATTATCATTTCCGTACCTCCATACAAGATGCAGGTATAAATGTCACGAAAACCGTCAACTGTGAAAGTCAGTGCTTAAAAAGTTGTCCTTAAAAAAAGAGAACAACACTACCCTCAACTTCCGGCCTTCACAGATTTTTTTCTACTTTATTTAGGGGCACCAAATTCGTTTTGTCATTTTTTCCTACATTCTATTCCTCATAAACTCGTAAGCGACATCCTTTATTGTTTTTACTTCAACATGATCAATTTCAAAATTGATTAAAGTTCTTTTAAAAGTAGTAGCATTAAAAAGATTTTTTAATTGTTTTTTAACTCATCTGAGCTGAAAGCTCAAGTTACCTTTTCTGATCAACCGATGCCCGTCGTCCATTTGTCTAGCTGTCTGTCTGTCTGTAAACTTCACATTTTCAACTTCTTCTCAAGAACTGCTGAGCCAATTTCATTGATATATATAGGAAAATTCAAACTTGCCACAAAGCCATAATTCATCATATTTATATAGGGGATTTCAAAGTTGTTCAAATTTGAAATTCAAGTGCAGATAATTTTTACATGGGATTCTTTAAAAATCTGAAAATTTGGTGACATATTTTAAAAATCTTCTTCTCAAGAACCACTCTGCCAGGAAATATATAGATTCTTTAAAAATCTTCTTTTCAAAAATGACAAAGCCAGAATTCATCGTATACCGGTATATTTGGAAGCATGCTAAGGTAGTGAAGATTCAAGTTTGTTCAAATTATGACCCCCAGGGGTAGGGCGGGGCCAAAATGGCCAACCAAACTTTTACATAGAAATATATAGGAAAATTCGTTAAAAATCTTCTTCTCAAGAATAGCAAATTCATAATTCATCATATTTAAATGGGAGCATGCTCAGGTAGTGTAGATTCAAGTTTATTCAAATCATCCCCCCCCCCCCCTCGGTGTAGGGCGGGGCCAAAATGGCCGAACAAAGTTTTACATACAGGAAAATTCTTTAAAAATCATTTTCTAAAATATAGCAAATCCATGATTGGTCATGGGATTTCTTTTGGATTTAAACTTTACAATAAAAAACCATTTTCTACTTTTTCCTAGCCTTAGTGCTCAGGTGAGCGATATGGCCCATGGGCCTCTTGTCATATAATTGTACACTGCATCACTGGTAATTTTTATTTACAATATATCACGACTAAACCATAATTAAATATCTACCTATCTACCTGATAACGTACACACCAACAAATGTTAGTTCTCTGAACATGCTGAATGCCTTTTTGATATCTTCAAATCTAAATACAAAAAGAAAAAATGTTGAACTTCATTATCAAGACTGATGTACATACTGTCAATTCAATTACATTTTACTTGCAAAAACTTGAAATCATCGGTGGCCCAAAAAAGTAGTTTATTTTTTATTTAGAAATTAAATAGAACAAGGATCAAAATTCGATAAAATCGTGTCTCATTTCCTAGCATTACTATCAAATATTAACTATGAGAAAATGAGTACGAGTATGTCGTAAACATACAACTGTACTTTGTGTAAATACCATGTTTAAGGAGATGTTTATGAAAAAAAAATTTGAAAAGCAACAACTGTCAAATATAAATGTGTTTTTTTAATTCGAATGTTGTTTTCATGATAGGTTAACAAGGTTATGCAAGCCCAAGTTTTGACTGCTGTTGTGAAGGACATGGAAATAATAAGAACAATAAATTATGAACAGAAGTATATAACTGATCTAAAATATGCAGATAATGGAAAGGTGTGTGTTTCTGTTGTAAACACGAAAGAGAACAGCCCTTCTAATTGTGAATTAAGATACGGTCCTATTCAATTTTTTTCTACCCATGGGGCCTGTTTGTGTTTTACTCATGACGGATATAAGAAAAATATCATTTTTTCAAATAATAAATCATTGTTGGTTTATAAAACACCCAGGTCCAAAGGATTACCTTCATTTTGGCCTTTGCCAGATGAATCATTGGATGGATACACCCCTACTGGAATAGGAGTGTGTAAATCAGGAGCCATTTTGGTTTCTCACTGGAACCATCAGATGCATGACCGTTCACTGGGTAAAGTTTTCAAGTTATCTCAAGGTGTAGGCAAACTCTTTGAAATAGAGGCGGACAAAAATCGACCCCTTTTTATCTGCCCGACATATATAACAGAAAACGGAAATGGTGACATTTGTGTTTCTGATGTGAATGCCGTGGTCGTCACAGACAGAGGTGGCTTTCTCAGATTTTGTTACACGGGAGCACAAAGCGACCCTCAGTTTGATCCATACGGCATTTGTTGTGATTCCATGAATAACATCATTGTAGCGGACATGTTGAAAAATAGAATTCACGTGATCAACCAGAATGGCGAGCTGCTTCACTTCATTCAGTACAAAGACATGTACATGCCACGTTCTCTCTGTATAGACGAGCATGACAATCTGTATGTGGGTGAATGGTCGTCTGAGGAAATCAAAGTCCTCTTACTTCAATGACTTTAAATTATTTTATCCATAAAAGACTTCTTTTAAACATTTTTTTTCATATTATGTTATCGTATTGTATTTCTTATATGGATTGATATAATATAATTTGCATCATATTGGTTTAAAAAATCATTTTAATTAGTATGCATTTTACTGTATATAACTGTTAATGTAAAAGTCTGTTGAACATGTCAGAGAAGTGCATTCATGTGGTATTTTTTTTCGTTTCAATGAATTGTCTTGTATTTCTTCTGAGCAATATGTTGCTACATTATAAATCACCCATTTCTACAAAAAGGAGAAAGTTGCTTGTTGTACGGATGGTTGTTTGTGAAACATTAATCCATATAAAGAGAGAACACTTTATTGTCTGGAAAATTTCACTTGCTTTATATCAAAACACGTGAAACAAATATTCAATAAATACAATGACTTATCTAATAGGAAATGTGTATTAAAATGAGTGACCACGTGTTCAATCGATGCACGTGATATAATAACTTACACAGATAGCACATGATACATATGTTGTAAAACGTTAATTTTGCAGAAACAGGAGTCTCCCACTAACTCACTCTTCCAAATGCATTATATGTAATTCCAACATAACTGTCTGAGCAAATCTCAGAGCATCAGAAGTTTTTTTAGGAACATTGCATCGAATATTCAAATCTTGAGAAATGGGCGATTTTTTATGTATCGATTAAATCGTTATTCGATAGGAAGACCTAAACGTTTCATTCAAACGAAGGCGCTTCATTTATTGGATTAATTTAGATGATGATAGGGTTAATTTGTGTGTATTTGCCATATATATTTTTGATTGCATAATTTCTGGTCTGGTTTTAATGACAAATCTTTGAACAAAATAATGGATATATTTAACCATATTCATTTTTTTGTCGATATGTCAATATGAATCTTCACGATCTTATCATTTTTTATTAGACCATGTTAAATGTTACACTCTTTTCTTTTAGAGATAAGTTGTATATTTATATTTTAAGTAAAATAATACCTTTAATTGAAATTTTACATGACTGTATACGTGCTCAAATAAAGTTATCTTTAATAGTATTTTGATTTTTCTCTTTAGTTATGATGTTAAGTAAGGGAAAGAAATGGAAATAAAAATGTCATTGTATTATGAAACTATCTAGTTATACAAATTCATGATCAATTATCAAAAGCTTTTTCATTGCTTGAAGAAGCTAGGATTCAGGTTCCACAGTATATTGAGGCATTAAAGAGGCATAAAGAGGCAGGACAAGCACTGAGAAATATTGGTTGACAAAATGCAAGTACTATGCAAGGCTGTAAGAGGATAATATAGGCTGGAACATTATAATATGAAATACATGTATGTTAACGTCATCGAGGAAAAGATGAATCAACTTTAAAAAGTTTCTATTTAACATAAAATTAAACTCTTTTTTGCTCATTTTAAAATCTTGTTAAGGCTCTTAACAAAACACCCATGGATTTTATTTTAACCCATTTCTTAAAAACACAAAAATAATCATTAAAACTAAAACAAAATAATTTATTAAATATAATTTGTATAGAATATGAACTTATCTAGCATTGAAGCTGCACAGGGACAAGGAATGTAGAGAATATCGCTAGAGTGATAAGCGTATACGAGACTTGCATCAAAAGTGCAAGGGCATAGACTATTTTGTTTGAGCTGAAATATGGAATATTTATTGCTTATATAGTGTATATTTTGAAAAGTGCTGGGAGTTTATCCCGGTCTGCATAACACTGTTTTTATTTATAACAGAATTTAAGCGAAGTGGGAATTTTTGCTATTATACACATTTCCGGCAAAGTTTTTGTTACTTCCCGAACACCACAGACTAGCCCTCAGCACTTCTTGGGTACAGGAAATTCACATCTTTAAACGTGTATCAGTTTTTTTCTGATGCCCTTGTACTATCCTCATTTCCTTCCTTCAGCTTAACAATTCTATTTTTATACAAGTCACGTGACAAACAGCTGATACATGCGGTATAACTGGTACTGTGTACGACTCAGTCCTGTCCCTTATTGATAACTATATTGCATTTTCTACGGGTATTCAGTAGCTTTGTTACAATTTTTTAAAAGGTGCTAAAGTGACATTTTCGATATCGGCCCTTAACATAGCCGAGTGGTCTAATTTTCTTTATTTTTACACATTTTATCCTAACCTAATTGAATCATTTTTTTAATTTTTGTAAAAATTGAATAATAAATGTGAATTTTCAATTTTAACGCTACACATGTTCAACTTTTACTTAACATTTTACTCAAATTTTCCAGTATCAATATAATTTACTGGTTCAAAGTAAAAAAAAATAGGTTGTTTTAAAGTATTACACAAATATATCAATTGATAATTCTAAAATAATGCTCATTCTCAAGTCGAATGTCTGATTTCACAATCTTCTTACAGGGGTCTGATAGGCCAGAGTTCAGACTTTGTGGGCAAAAAAAAAAATTAAAAATAAAATAAAAACGAGTGGTTTATTTTTTTTCATATCAAATATAAAGAGAGATTTTGTATCCTACAAAATATCAAAGTTTTTGAAAAATTGAATTTTCGGAAAACAATTGGCTTATCTACTGTGTCCTACTTTAATACGTTTTCGTCTTTAAATCGCCCTATGTTTAGAGTTTGTTTTAATCCCGTAATAAAAAGTTTTTTTTCCAGAGTAACAAGGATAATTCTCTGAAATGTTTTTTCCCTTTCAAGATATAACTGAAAAATTGCTGACAAAACTTTAATCAATAACGATTAAAATTTGACTCTTCTTACAAGCCATAATTGACGCATGATATATTATATCATAATTGAACTTTCCAGATGTAGGACGTTCGCTGAGACGATTAGATCCCAACAGGTAAAGTTGAATGTACGTATTACATGTTTTCTTAGCAATTTACTGTTCGAAATAGAAATGTTACACTGCTAATGCACTGAGCATTTTGATTTAAAAATCTAACGTCCAATCCCTTAACAAATATGCTCTTGGTCTATGTAAATTGTTAGTACATGTATATCTATTTCCTGTTAATCATTTACTGTAAACAAACATTTAGCCGCGTGCGAGAAATTTTCGCGAAGTTATCGCGAATATTTTTTCGAATTCTATCTAATGTTTCTCTACTCATTGGGCCTGTTTATGTTATATCAATGGTGGAGGTTACGGTATAGGTTACGAAAATTTCATATATTCGAATAGCAGATCATTGTTGAGGTATAGCATTCGGTACAAAGATACAGGTCAAGTTTTGCTTTTGCAAAATAAGCCATTGAATGGATACACCCAAAATGGAATAGCAGTGTGTAAATCGGGATCCTTAATAGTTAGTCTATGGAATAATCAGGTGCATGACCGTTCTCTAGGTAAAGTACACAAGTTATCTTTTGCTGGAGATAAACTTTTTTGAAATAAAATAAGACAAAAATCGTCCCCTTTTCATCTGCCCGTCCTACGTAGCAGAAAACGGCAATGGAGACATCTGCGTTTCTGACGTGAATGCTGTGGTCGTCACTGACGCCGGAGGTTTACTGAGATTTAGATACAGAGGATTGTCAGATGATTCTTCCTTTGATCCATACCGCATCTGTTGTGATTCCAATAATAACATCATTGTAGCGGATATGGTGAAAAACAGAATCCACGTGATTGATCAAAATGGCGAGCTGCTTCATGCCACGTGTTTGCTGTATGGATGAACATGACGACTTGTATGTTGGAGAATGGTCGTCTGAAGACATCAAAGTACTTTCGTTTCAATGACTTAAAGTTATTTCATCTATAAAAAAACTTTTTAAAAACATTTTTTTTTCATATTATGTGATCATATATTCTATTGCTTAGATGGAAAAATATAAAATAGTATTTGCATCATAATTAAAAAAAAACGTTTTACAACATGTAATTAATTATGCATTTTAATTTACTTTATATAAATGTTAAGGTAAAAAACTTTTTATCATGTGAAAGAAGCGCCTTCAAGTAATATTTTTTATCGTGCCATTATGACGTGTCCTGTTAGTTAATAATGATTAACCATTTCTACCAAAAAGAGAAAGTGGGTTATTGTAAGAAGGGATTGTTGTGAAATTTAAATCTCTACCTAGAGTTATCGTTCCACTTATACCTCTGTCAACGTCTAAAAAGTAGTACGGAAGCGGAGGGACGTAATCTTTTTGTTGAAAATTGTCCACAAGAAGATTAACCATTAACATTTTTTATATATGTGTTAATGCTGCAAGTTGTTTGTCTATAAAAACTAAGTTATGTTTATATTTATCGGCAATGCATTTTAAATTTTCCACGTGTGTAATATCCTGCCGAGAAATAATCCCCTATAGGATATGGTGAAAAAGCGATATCTGATTCTAATTCGCATAAATTAACTTTTATTCAACATGTTAAAGAAGAATATAGAAGTCTTACATTCATAATTAAAGATGCAATTGGTGAAAGTTAGTTTTGCCAAGAATCTTGGCATTTAGACGTTGACAGAGGTGATCTAGCGAAGCGAACGGACAACTCTGGGTAGAGATTGATGAAATTTAAGTCTGCATTTAGAGAGAACCCTCTATTGTCAGAAAATTTTCACATGCTTTATTTCAATACATGTGGAACAAGTATTCCATTTATACCATGGCTAATCAAAGAGACAATGAACATCTACATGTGTAACATGTGTTCAATAGAAGCATATGTTCTAATTACTTAAACAGACATGGCAATTAAATATAAGTACATGAATACATAATCACATGTAGAAAATTGTTGAAATATGTTAATTTTGGAATAAACTTAATACACTCTTCAAAGTGCATTTTATCTAATTTTAGCATAACTCTTTGAGTTAGTTTCAGAGAATTGGGTGTCCGTCTATTAAATACATTGTGACGAATATTGCTTTATGTAATCTATAAAAATGATTGTGTCATTGTGTATCGATTGACATTTGATGAGTAGACATAAACGTTTCATTCATATGTAAAATGTCACCAAGGTGATTAATTTTGACGATGGATGAGTTACGTTGAGTGTTCTCTGCATAAATACTTCGTGATCATATAATAATTCCTTTTCTTGTCATACACCTTTGAATGAAATTCATTTTGTCAATGTTATGAACTTAAAAAAACAAACCATTTTTTTTTTGTTTGGAGAATTTGGTATTTGAAAAATTTGTTGTACCATTTTTTCATTTTACATTTGAAGAAAAGTTATACTTATCATTTCCCCTTATGACTACAACCATTTACCCACTGCTAAGACCAATACTATCTACATGATTCTAAGACTTGTTGGGCGTACAACCGGATCCACCCTATATATGACACTAAAGCATTTCAACCCCCATCCCTAGCCAACTCGTCTCATGTATTTAGAATCAATGTTAACCTTTGGGTAAATTTGGTGAACCAGAAGCGTATGTAACATACCCATGAATACAATAGAAACACAGGGTTTTAGCCACCGATCGGACTCAAACCCTGTGTATCTGGTTCCAATGCCGCCCACGCTTACCACTTTGTTATCATCCTCAAAGCAACTTCGTTCATCAATTGTTAAATATTTTTTAAGAGGCTAAGATTCAGTTTCTTTTTTAAATATAAACTGTACTCAGTATATCAAAGCACAAAGAGTCTGTTTTATCAGGCAAGTATTATGATTTTTTTTTATTTACAGAAAGGTACGTATTATTCAAATTAAAATAGCTATAAGAAGATGAGTAAGACTTGGTCATTATGAGTTTTGATATGAATACGTTCTTTAAAGTCATATATGGCGTATTTTTGATAAGTTCAGACTAACTAAAATTAAAAAGATCTTTCTCTTTCTTTTGATACTTAATATAAAGATAGGACTTTCCTGTAAATTACACAATTTAATCGATCGCTTTTCTTAGATATCGGAGATTTAAAACAATAACCGATTTATTTCCGACTCGGAATTAAATACAAGGCACAGTTTAAAGTCAATTTAACTATAGAAAAGTGGGTTATTTAAGTTCAAAATCGGCAAAAAATTAAATTTGAACGTAAATATAGCGAATATCATGTAATTCTACACTTGATCTCATTTTATTTTAGCTCAAATACGCCATTTATAGCTTTAAAAAAAGAAGTTTTTTCTTCTAATTATCAATACAAAACTATGAAATAACTTTTATGCAACGAAAAAAGTATCATTTTTTAATGGTTCTTAAGATTATTTTTCTTGATGCTGCCCTATGTAACATGGAATCTTTGTCTCGTAAAAGTGATAAAAGGTCATTTTCTCTGTAAAAAGTTTTCCCGTTCAAAATATTATTGGAAATTTTTTTAAAAGGCTTTAAAGAAATTATTACTTTTCTTGCCTGCCATAACTGACGCGCAATATAATTTATCACAGGTGAACTTTCCAGATGTAGTGCGTTTGCCGAGGCGATTGAATCCTATCAGGTAATATTGCATTTAACTTGGTTTAGAGCAATTTTACTTCTCCCTAACGCTGGGAAATATGCCAACATATAGTGTCCAATATCTTAACAAATACTTTATGTATCCATTAGGTCTATAAACATTTGTAGTACATGCATTTTTATTTATTTTCCTGTTTTTCATTTACATTGATAATTTTAAGAGACACCTCAGGAACGTTTTATATTCAGATATATTTTCAAAATAATCAAAGACATTCAATTTTCTTAGCCTTGTACTATCAAGGGCAAAAATGTTTTTCCTAATTTTCAGACAAATCTTTTATAGTGTGATAACGTTAAAAACTCTAATTCAAAACAAGTGAAGAGGTGAATGTGCGAGCTATAATCATTTCTGACGATGAGCTTTAGATGTAATTCAAACACCTTCTGTGATGGCTTTAAGTAACACAGGAAACTTTTTTGGGTATTTTTAGACACTAGATATTAATTAAACACTGTGATTTTCAAGTGTTAAATATGAAAATATATTACAATATACATACCATCACACATTGACAATTAATTTGGATATTTTCAATATGAAATTCTACATGTTTCTTATTTAATGAAATGGGTTGTCATCTTTATCTGTCATATTTAACTATTTGAAATGTGCATTAGTTTTAATCAGCCATGAGTGTATGATATGACCAGATGGACTTTGCTATGACTTACTTTATCATTGTTTATTTTAAATCATTATTTAAATTCTACCTGCAACGCAAATAGATCACATTATACACACTCGGAATTTTCAGTTATCAGTCTTTCTATAAACTCAATTATTTGGTAACATTTGGAGAGTTCGAATCGAAGTGTACTTGTCCCTGACACTCTCCCACCTAACAATAAATAAAAGTACGGAAATTGAAAGGCAATTTTATCTATAGGGTGTTTCAAATGTATGTCACACATCTAAAAGGGCAAAATCTGAATATCGAACATGATATCAAAAATGCCAAAACATTGTAGGTAAGCATAACGATCTACACTTATGATATTGCAAAGTATTTCGAAAAATTATAATATACATTGAAGTGACGGATGATATAATCAGTGATGTCATAATTTTAGCTGTTTTAAAAATGACGTACAACTAGCAGCAAAAATGTTGTAAACTGAAATTATAAAAGCAGCATCTTAAATATAATACAGGGTGTGATGATGAAAAATATCCAGACAAGGGATTACTGTCTAGTTTTTATATAATAAGAATACATGTCTTCAGAAATGAACACGACCTTATCTGGACAATTATATGTACCGCAGATGTTGAAAATAAAGGTATTTTCATTTTTAGATAGATGTGATTCCTCTTTGATAGCCTTATTTTGCCTTTACACATGTATAACATACACGTATATAAAAATTAATATTTAACAGTATATGTAAATTATAGCATCAATCAGAAGATAAATCTATCATTCATTCAGTCAGAGTAGGCGTTTCCCAGAGGCACCTGACGTAACTTATTTTAATGTACAATGTACCCCTACCTAATAATAAACAAGGTAACCATCTGACAACATCTTGGATTTTTCAATGTTGGTGTCCTCCACTTGTATTTTTGTCTGAAACTCCGTTCTACAACCGTATTCTTTCTGTTTCCATGCAGTGTTTCGAGGTCTACATTAATGCAAAGTGCAACCAAAAGGTTGCACGGACCTTGCAAATATTATACATTCCTTGTAAAACTCGATCGACCGTTTCAACAATGAGAGAAATTCTAAAAGTGGCCCCTTTGTATATGACTTAAAATTCTCAGTAAAAACCCTTTTTAAATGTATCTATAAACTTTATATTTAACAAAATAATCAATATAAGTTAATAGAGATTCCAAAATCAATCTATTAGACAGTAATACGACGTAATATAAAAACAATCATTTTCTTTCCGTCAAAAATAATCTCGATACAGGCATAGGTTGATCAATTCTATTATATATTGTAAATGTAGGAGACATCATCTGAGTACACATTTGCTTCTACGAATATTACATGTATTCTTCAATTGTACGTTCACCTTGTCCCTGTCGGTATAGGGCTCTCACCGTTATCCGGAGGTCCTGAGTTCAAATGTCGACCGCATTCGACCAATACCGTTTACAAAATGAGTAGCAACTATCCTTCCTCAATGCGCTGGCTAATTTAACGGGAAAGTGAAAGCGGGATCTTTAACGTGTATAAGACCTTAAGAACCGAGGTCTCGTACCACGGCAGGCGATGACATAAAAGTTCACTCACTGCTTTATGGTCCTGAGTACCGAGTAGAGATAAAATTTTGAATCCCTTCACCGGTATATGCTGATATTCTTATATGAGTGAAGAATTCTCGAATTGGACGTTTACCAGCATAAAATCAATAGCAAAATTAAAATCATCACGTTTGCCATACACAACAGTTAAAGATCTCTTGAACACTATGCCTGCGTAATAGATCAGGAAATACATGTACACACAACTAATAAATAGTTATGAGAGATGAAAGTTGAGTTCAAAAGATAGCGATTTCTTCTTGAACAGTAGTACATGTAAAGATATTTTATTTTCCATTTGAATTTGAGACAGTCAATATTAAGCAGTTATTTTTTCCTATAACATAACATAAACTCTGAGTCATTGAGTAATTAAACAATGAACATTATTATACTTTCATGTTAAATACTACAATCTGATTGGTTAAGACGCAGTTAACAATTCGTTCTATTATCCTCAGCCGTAGCAACAAACAGGGCAACGGTAACACAACGGTATTGCTACATGCATGGGAATTATGCGCGTAAGGTTCACCGTAGAATTCTCAAAACGTCAGTGACGCGTTTGAAAGAACCGGAATAAATTTTAAGTCAATGAAAGCTTGTCTCCAAAGTAGCTTACATGAAAACAACAAATCTCAGACGAAACATGCTTGAGAGTACAGAAATAACGAAACTTTAGGTGATATAGGATTCTTAGAGTATCACATTAACATTAAAGAGGTCAGAAAATCTTTTCCGAAGTAGCGGGGAGTTTGAAAGCTTTCTAAACGTAAACGTAGAGACGATCGACGATTTTTTTGACATCCTAAATCAAGAAGACATTCAGTATGATAAAATAAATGGTGCCTGTTTTGGAGTGTACAGACGCGTCGGTTGATAATGGTTTTCCTTGGGGTACTAATTTCAACTGTTACCCTCCAAAACAGGCACCATTTAATACTGCACTAAACAAGTCATCCCACATTGTAGGTACATGTACCTGTACCGAATATATACTATAGTAAAATCCTCACATACAGTGAGAGATTGATAGATAGCACCCTTTATTTCAAATGAACTCATGTCAACATCTCTGGGTTTTATTTATTTGATGATTGTTTTCATGATAAGTAAACAAGGTGATGCAAGTCCAAGTTGTGTCTGTCGTTGTCAATCAAGTGCCAATATGAAAAACAAAGCTCAGCGAGTCATTCATACTCGAGCGCTGTCACCCGATAACATGAGGCACATCTATTATGAGGACCCACCTCCATCCAGCATTCCCATTCCCTAATATAATTAATGTGTCTTGAAAATTAATACAATTTATCATAGTTTTTACTCAATTGTTTTACTGCTTCTATGTATTTTGTTTTGATAATTATTTTTTTCAAACATTTTCTTCCGTGGTTTTGATTGTCCTTTGAGTGTACCATCTTTTTGCCAATTTTTTTCTTACACATGTATAATATTTGCAAATGATGTCAAACATACAAGTTATTTTTACATTGTGACTGATATTGCAAGATATAAAAGATTTTGACAAAATTGAAAAAACAAAGATGAAAATTTAGTTCGAATTTCCTCCACATTACCATACAATGACTTTTTTCCTGTATGTTTTCTTCACATAATAAAATATTATTAAATTATAATTTTCAAATTGATATTGAGTTAAGACATGGTTATTTTATCCATATAGAACAATTTCTGATTTAACATATATTATACTATAATTTCTTATCTTTTTCTGAAACCTGAGTTAACGTCATTCTAAACATCTAAATTGCATATGTATAGACGAAGTTCTTTTAATTTTCAAATGATTTTAACTATAGGTAAAAAAGATGATGCAAGCTCAAGTTCTGTCTGCTGTTGTGTATCGAATAACCAGGACAATAAACTATGGTCACAAGTATGTTGTTGATCTCAAATATGCAGATAATGGAGGAGTGTGTGTTTCTGTTGTGAATTCTCAAGGTCCCAGAAACAAGTATCCAAAAGATACCTCTATTCGTCATTTCTTCTTTGGTGAGTCCTGCCTGCGTTATATGGATGATTCTACTGAACGTATTATACTGTTAGAAAACCAATCGATTTTTTACATTAAAGACGTCAGGCAACACAGCTATAAAATTTACTATGAAGATAACATTAACACAATTTGGCCACGGTCAAGTGACATTTACATTAGATACAGTCCAACCAGAATAGCATTGTGCAAAAACAATGCAATATTGATTTGTCTTTGGAATCATCAAGTGCAGGAGCGTTCTATGGGTAAAGTTGTCAAGACTTCATTTGAAAAGATTAGAACAATTGTATCGGATGGAGCATTTTTTGAAATAGAATCCGATAAAGATAAGCCACTTTTTCGTTGCCCGACCTATATAGCAGAAAACGGCAATGAAGACATATGTGTTTCTGATGTGAACACCGTGGTCGTCACGGATGCCGGAGGTTTACTGAGATTTCGATATAAAGGGCTGTCAGATGATCCACACTTTGACCCCTATGGTATCTGTTGTGATTCACAGAAAAACATTATTGTTGCAGACATGATGAAAAACAGAATTCACATGATTGATGAGAATGGTGGATTTCTTCACTACATTCAATACAAAAATATGGACAAACCACGAGCTCTCTGTATAGACGAGCATGATAACCTGTATGTCGGAGAATGGTCGTCCGAAGAAATCAAAGTACTTTCTCCTCAATGACTGGAGCAAAAAAGAAAAAAAAAGTTTCTCGAGACTGGTGTGCGGTAATAATGTATATCAATATCTCTTACTGTACATTTTTAAAATGTCGATGTCTAAATTATTAAGCCTTTGTGTGCATTTTTGTTAACAAGTATTGACTAAATGATAGTTTAAACATGAAAATTGCTTAAAGGATTTATATTGTGTATTCTTCTAGCAGTGTTTTGTCTTTCATTTTTTATGACGATTCTTTCTTTTTGTACAATTATCAACATGGATCTTTGTTGTCATTTTTTTTTATTTCTGCCTTAAGTCAAATTTGCAGCATAAGTAGTATGTCAATTATATGAGAAACTTAATATGACATTCTTTTTAACATATAAATTAGAGAATATAGAATATCTCAAAAAATGATTTATTATTATTATTCAAGATTTGAATTTTTGAATGGATGTTTTCATCGACACAGCTTTGCCTCAAACCTTCAACAATATAAAAATTTATTTGAGGTTTACCTATGCTGAAAACTCAAATGAGGTGTTGTCCTCCATCCCTCTTCAGTCTGTTCCCAAGACTGTAAATATTTTAAGTCTTTTACAAATCCACTGGTAAGATTTTAGCAAAAGGTATCCTCAGTTCATAGAATTTTTTAAATGTTAAAATGAAGGACCCAGTCCCTTTCTAGAACCAAATCCTCCGGAAAAGACCAAAATAATGTCGGCTATTTAAAACTCATTGAATTGAATTGAACATATTTCATCAATCTGACAAAATCGAAAGGATTGGACACTCTTTTGCAAGAACCTTACCCGAAAAAAAATAAATATATCTTAGTTTCCTTGGGTAGCGTAAATGATAAATTTTTTAATCAAAACCTTTTATTTAGAAAAAAAAATCATAAAAGTTATAACTTTGTGGAAGCTTTCGTAGCTACTATGGATTGCTTAAATGGCTTTTTAGTTACAGACCCTGAGACGTGCTACTACCCCAAAAAAGCGTGTGACTTTCGTGCGCTTTCCGTTTCGTGGAGACCGTGTAGCGTTTCGTGTAAACCGTGCAGCGTTTCGTGCAAACCGTGTAGCGTTTCGTGTAAACCGTGCAGCGTTTCGTGTAAGCTCCAAAGCGTTTCGTGCAAACCGTGTAGCGAGCGTGCGGAAAGCGTGTAAGAAACGTGCGACTTTCGTGTAAGAACCGTGTTAGAAACGTATGACTTTCGTGCAAGAATCGTGTAAGATTCATTCGGAAGTCATTTCATTTTAAATATGGCTGTCGATGGGTCAGGATGTCAGATTGTATAAGTATTTTATAATTGAATTAGTTATGCTTGTGATATGTTAGGAGTAAAATCAAAAAAAGGAACAAATTGAAATTTCACGGTAATGTATAATCTATATTTGTTTGTTTTCTTTTCCTTCTATAGAAAATGTGTTCAAATTAATCAACCATGTACAAAAAATTTAAGGGCATTGAATTCATTATACTTTCAACGCGATCATGGCTTCTTAAATATTTTTTTTCTCAAATAAAGATATCGGTATAATTTTTTTTTAATTTAAAGCAAAAATATATCAGGACTCAGCTCTTGTCTTTACATTTTAAGTACGCAAAAGAAAGTTTTGAAACGATGTGTCATTTAATACATTTTAATACATAAAACTTGTTGCTCATTATTGTCAAATAAATGGATTTTATAATTTTAATTCACATGCACTGACGATTACATGTTTAGAAACGGGGTGGGGGGGGGGGGGGGTAAATTAAATTACTAGTACAATCTTTCATTTTTTGTTGTTACTTTCAGTCTAATGTTAGTTTAAATAAATGCTTAATTTTCCATTCTTTTTTAAATCCTTTGTTAAATATGTGCGCAGATACACCCCTTAAAAATGTATTGGAATCTTCTTTCCGCGTTTCAACTGTGATCAAGGTCATTTACAACAGCGATCACGGGCTCCGAGTGCATGGCAACTGAAAACCTGTTTTGCTATACGAGTTCACGGCTTTATGACACCTGAAAATTACGACTGGATTTGATTGTTTTTGAAATAAAATGGTCCTATAAATATTTAATGGGTACAACTTATAAATCAGCGGATTTCATCTTTTATTTGTAAATCCGAATTTCTAGCCGTAAACAGTAAAATAAACAAAACTGATTTGGTGGTCTTCTCATGAATGTCATGTAAGAAAAGCTTAGGAGTAAATCATGAATAATTGTATATTATTTGTTTTATAAATCACGCACTTTTTATTTCACCTCAGATATTTCAGTTTTCTTGTAATATACCTGAATGCCGGTGTAAAGATCGATCTACATTGTATGTACAATGTATAGTCAAATGCCACGACTATTAATCAATGTACACATATATACCCACGTTTAGTCCGGGGTTTGAAATGAAGGATTTTACAATATGATGGATATTCTGATGTTATTTGATAAGCTTCATGTAAAAAGAGAAAGAGAACAAAAATAGATTAAGACATCAGATTTAAACCCCCCCCCCCCCCTTTACTGGTTTCCCTCCGATAGATAATGCTTACGTAAGATAAAAAAACTCTTTAAAAATGTATCA